ACAACACTACATCAACCACCCACAACTCCATACACCCCAACAACCACCGACAGATCCATACACCCTAGAAAAGTGATAACAGCACTCCAGCAACCACTCACAACACCATACATCCTTGAAGCAACATAACATAACATAACTCCATCAACCACCCACTACAGCAAACGCCCTAGAAACCACAACCCCCCAGAAACACCATACGCCTTAGAAATCACATGACAACACCCAATCAACCACCAAAAACACCATGCACCCTAGAAACAACATAACAACACTCCAACCACCCACAACACTACACACCATACAAACAACATAACAACACCCCATCAACCGCCCACAACACCATACACCCTACAAACAACATTACAACACCCCATCAACCACCCACAACACCATACACCCTACAAACAACATAACAACACCCCATCAACCACCCACAACACCATACACCCTACAAACAACATAACAACACCCCATCAACCGCCTTCAACACCATACACCCTACAAACAACATAACAACACCCCATCAACCACCCACAACACTACACACCATACAAACAACATAACAACACCCCATCAACCGCCCACAACACCATACACCCTACAAACAACATAACAACACCCCATCAACCGCCCACAACACCATACACCCTACAAACAACATAACAACACCCCATCAACCGCCCCCAACACCATACACCCTACAAATAACATAACAACACTCCATCAACCGCCTTCAACACCATACACACTACAAACAACATAACAACACCCCATCAACCACCCACAACACCATACGCCCTAGAAACCACATTACAACACCCCATCAACCACCAACAACAACATACACACTTCAAACAACATAACAACACCCCATCAACCGCCCACAACACCATACACCCTACAAACAACATAACAACACCCCATCATCCACCCACAACACCATGCACCCTACAAACAACATAACAGCAATCCATAAAACTCCCACAACATCTTACAGCCTAGAAAATTAAACCCCCCAGCTTCAACTCGGCATCCACCCACACTTGCTAATTTTCATACAGACCATATGCATAGATTGTTTATGAAAGGATTGAATTAGACTTGTGAAGCAGACTGTGTGTGTGTGAGCGTGTGTGTGACGTGTGTTTGTGTGTGTTTTCCGCAGGTGTTCAGTGGATTCTCCCAGCAGGAGTTCTCAGCACAGAGGCAGCTGCTGTAGCTCCCGCAGTGGATCCGTCTCCTCCAGCAGGTGCGTCTAATATATGCCTCTTATCTCCATTTCACAGGCCCTCTGACAAACATATACCACGGTGAACATAGTTTCTCACAAAATACTACAATAGAAGTGCTGTAATGTGGTATCAGTCGGAAAGCAGTTGATCTAAAATGACAGAAAAGCTGCTTACACTGTTTAAGGTACTTCTGTAGTCTTGTACCATGATTTTACTGCGGTAACTATGTCATTTTACACTTAAATTATGGATAAATTGTGTATCAAATCAAATCACATGTGCTATGATGAGTAAAAAGCTTAGGTGCTGGCTCAAGTCATTGCAAAATACAATGATATACTCCAAAACAATGTACTAATAGCAGTTATGGGCCTTTTATAAACAGGTTATGAACTTATACTATGATTTTAAGGTTGGAAACCATTTAAGAGAGTCTTTAAAACGGCCGCATTTATGTTAAAATTTGTAATAACGCTAATATTGTATTACAAATTTAACAAATTGTTTTGAATATGTTAAA